CATGGCTTTCTCCAAATATTGGTAACTCCATAATCTATATTTTTAATCCTAACCTCTCCTAAGATCCAGACTTGGATAGCTAACTTCTTACTTGAGATTTACGCACGTAACTCGCAGACATTTCAAATTCAACACATCTAAAAGAAAATTGTCGATTAACTCCCCAAACTGGTTCGAACTCTACCTCACTTCCTCACTATTGTCATCACTCATTATTTATTCAGTTATTCCAGACAGAAATCTCAGTGACATCTTTGGCTTTTCTCTTCCCCTCACTTTTCATACCCAACCTGTTATGCCAATTCTACTTCCAAAATATATCTCAGATCTGCCCCTTTCCCTCCATTTTTGTCCAAGCCATCATCATCTCTTGCTTGAACTACTGCATTAGCTCTGCCTCCAGCCTCTACTCATGCCCTTTTCCAAACCACTGTTACCAAGCAGAAGTATATCTAACCACAACGTAAATTGGATCAAGTCATTCTATTACTTCAACTATTCAAAGGCTTCCCTTTTTAACTTCTAACCATAGTGTACAAGGCCCTATATGATCTGGCTATTCCCCCCTCCAACTTTATCTTTGGATACTCGTCTCATTCAAAATGCTCCAGCCATACTGGTCTCTTTTCCAGTTCCTTGTTCACAGCACTATTTCTCATCTCAAAGTTTCTGCACATACTGCTCTTTTTTCTCTTCCTATTTCCACATGGTTAAAGCCTATTCTTCCTAGTTTTCAGGTGAAATGTCACCTTAAATAGGCCTTCCAAAGTAAACCATAAGGATAATCACCTTAACTAAAGTAAGGCTTCCTCAGCCCTTCTCTCTCAAGCTGTTTGTTTCCTTGCCCGGCTGCAAGTTCTGTTCTATGTCGGTCTTATTCATTGCATCCCTATGCCTAGCACAAAATAGGTACTCCGTAAATAATATATACTTTGAATGGTGAATGACTTTGTAATCTTTAGAAAGGGATGGCTGCATCACATTTACAAATTGCTTGGAAAAGCTGGTGAGTTTTGTTGAGAAGGGGTACTGCCCAGAGAGCCAGAGATATGAATACAAGCTCTGTATAGCTTTTTAGGCCGTACACACATGGTACAACTCTTTATTTGCACTTTTATTTAGTCTATATTTTCTACGTTGGAAATAAATAAGGACACTATGAGAAACAGATAGGTTGCTGACGTCAAGATGCACAAGACACACAATTCTCCTGATCAACATATAATGGCTCTATGAAAAGGATATTAGGTTAGTTTGGCACGTACTCTCAGTAAATTCATACTGTTTTGAGGGACTTCTAATTATCCTCATAAATCATCCTTTTAATCTAACTGGCAAACTTGCATGGAATTGGTATCAAGCTCAACAATTCATTAATTAATTCAATCAGTGTTTGTCATTCAATCATATACTAGGCATTCTTCAAGTACTGGAAGACACTGGTTGAAAAGGACAGACAACATTTTCTCTCATGGAACTGAGTCTAGTGAGAAAGAAACACAATAAAGAACAAGAAAATGAGTACTGCTAAGAGTAATCATGAAAAAGAAAAACCAGGGTGATATGAGAGAGTTACAGGGGTTACTTTGGATTGGGTGGTCAGAAAAGGCCAAATAATTGACAACTAAATGATAATCCATATTTTATAAAATCTACCAGCTTTTCCTTTTTGAAAATCAGGACATTTGTCCATCTCTAGTCTTCCGTCAACTCTCCATGATTTCTTGAGGATGATTACGTTATAATATAGTAAGTATTTTAGTAGAATGACAAAGAAAACAAAGTGGTGTCCAAATTTGATAAGTAGCATTTACCTCCTAAGATATGAAGACTTTTGTAGCTTCAGCAAGAAACCTGGATTCTAACTTTTATTTATTGGTCAACGGTTAACTGAAGAGTTTCTTTCTCTTAGATAACACTGAGAACCAATTACTTTCAAGAAATGCCAGTTCTTATTTTTCTTCCATTAACATGAAAAGTTTAGTTACAAGGAGCATGGAAGTTCAAAGTAAATATCAAAATAAGCTAGTTACCATAAGAATCAAATGTATACTAACAGACGTGAGTGGAGTTGCAAAGGGTAAAATCTTTTTCAAAATCTAAATAAACTATGTAATGGAAAATCAAACTAATTTACTTAGGTCTTCAAAAAAACTTTTTAAATTCAATCACAGATTTTAGTAAATAAAAAGTAAAATTACCTTACTAGTCTTTTCTAGGTTGGAAACTCTGGGAGTGGTTAAAGTAGGTAAAAGTAACCATCAAAAGTAGTTTCTGCCTTTTACTGCAATTTTAGGTAAATCATGCCTGGCATGGCAACCTATTCACTTAATAGGAAAAAAAGTATGGGAGAGGGGGTTACCTATGCTTTAGTTATTCAGTGATTTAAAAATGTAAATTCCACTTTGAATGTTCATAATACTTTCTAAGTGCTAAAGCACTTTCAGGTTTACTATTATGTGATTTTCATAAAGTGCTGTGAGGAATAGAGAGCATGTTGTTATTTCCATGCTCTTGGATGGTAAGACAAAAGAATTTGTTAGAAAGGTGATAATGCTTATAAAATCCATATAAAAATAAATTAGGAAATGATTTACATCATGAAAGTATTCATTATAGGTTCATTATTTAATACATGACAGGAAGGCTTATGAACAGAGAAAGCTAAAAATTTAAAGAACTGTCAAGTAATTATCAGAAATGAAGATAAAGCATCTATGAATCAAAGTCAATGAGAAATTATTAGATTTATATTACTGAGCAAAGTACATTTTATATAGAGATATTTATAATATTTTTAGCTTCTTTGAAAATGCATATCTAAAAACATCTAAGGTTGCAAATAGCAACGTTCAAGGAAAGGTTACTTTTCCAGTAAGATAGTAGTTTGTTAAATTTTAAAAAGCAGATTGCTGTCAACAAATGCCAACCCTAAATAACATCACTGACAAAGAATTTAATACCGGTAACACAACACACACAAATGCCAGTTTACAGACAACATAAATTTTACTACATTAAAGTCCCTTAAGAAATCTATTCATACAATGATCTAATTGAAATAAACATAATGGATTAGTTTTTAATGGAATAAAAGGAATTAAAATAGTAATATAGTCCTCTATATAGACATGCTTTAGACAGAATTTTTCAGATATTATTGAAGACTCTTTAGAGAAAACTAAATAATTTACATCTTCATCACACTAAACTGAAGGAATTATTTATATATTATCAAACACACATAATGAAATTTTTTATATTGTGTTAAGTTTACATTCACTGTTGTGTACTTTATAATTGGTATGCCTTATAATGAATAGGAATTTTTATTTAAGATTTTTCTTAAACATGCAAACAAAGTAAACCATAAAGAAGGCAACGAAAACAAAGTTTCCTGTACTTAGTCCTGCAGGGAAAATATGAACAACAAGATGTGCCACTCTGAGACTGTAATTACAGCACTGATTCCACAGGTGAAATGCATGAAGAACATCCTTATGTACTCTGAAAATAGTCTAAAATCCATTTATTTTACCAATAAGCATAAATCTACCAGATGCATTTATTATTTTTGATTAGTAGCTTATATCTTTAATCCGTTATTTTTTAAATGTCCTGAAATAAAATAGTAACAAAAACAAGCACACTGTAAAGTTACATGAGAGCTTTCAAATACATGTCTATTCATATGAAAGGCTAAATTTATTTCAGTTTGCTTATAAGAGAATTAACATCCAACATAAAGTTGGAATTTTGTTACCTGGCCAATCTGGAGAATTTTAGGAATTAGAGTTGCTAATTACAAAGGTCTTTAAATATACATTCCTTAAACAAAAGATAAGAAATTGGCAATCAGCACAAAATGTTAGCTGGAGTTAGCTATTGCAGTTCAAAGATCAACAAGATGGTATCTAGAGAAAGTTATGTTCTTAAAGTTCAAATAATGATCTAAAATAGGTTATCTTAAAAATTAAGGTCATGAAAGGACAACTCAATAGATACTGATTTCACCTCCCCAAACTTCATCAGAGACTATTTATTTGAACTAATATTTTTCTGTAAGAAAAAGAAATTTGATAGCACCTTGAATTGAGATCCCATTAAAATTACTTAGTTACTCACAGTTTCATTCAGGTTGTAAGTCAGTTTGGTGTTTGGTAAAGTAATCTTTCAGAATGGGTGCTGATGTGAACGAATGAGGTCAAGGACGTCCATGTACAGAGATCGAGAGAGCTACCACTCAAGCACTGTTCTTGAATAATTCAGCAACATTGGTAACTATGGCACTTCTGGATTTCTGAAAAATTTTAATCTCTGGTTTGCTTTGGAAACACAGGCATAACTTCAAATTAGCTTTTCATTACTTTGCGAACTTAGCTTTTAACTAAGTTGAATACTTAAATGTGTACAATTTTTACTCCTGTTTAAAGAGTGAGTATGGAAGTTTTACGGCTTGTTTTGGAAGAACACACTCAGTCTCAGTGATTAGTGTCTGTCTTGTCCTTAAAGAATCCATATTTTACCATAAAAATCAATGTCAAAATAAATATGAAGTCTTACTGACATTAAGATATTTAACAGCATAAAAAGGGAAATTCACTTGAAAACACTGTATATCTTGTTAGCTGTTGCCTTTTAAAAAACCATTAGCATTTAGATAAATGGATTCACAAATTAATAAAAATTATCACAATAAAAATACATTATATTCATTCACCTGGTAACAAACATACTTATTCAACTATAGTTTACAGCAAAGGAGAGTTTAAACATTTTTCTTTAAATCATCTCTGAAATGTATTAATTTTATAGCAACAAAATCTTGTTTTTAGTAAAAGTAAATGAAAATAGGTAATTTATATAGATTATATTCCTACAATAAGATATTACTACATTTTAATGCATATATGCTTTCCCATTTCCTTTTGCTTGGATATAAGATATAGTGTTTCAAAATGAAAATAAATACACATAGCCAAAACCAAAACAAGTATGCAAAAACATTTTATTTATAATAGATCAACATTTTTGACACGAAAGGTAGCCACTTTCAATTTCTCAGGAATGCCTAGAATCCAACAGTTTCCAGAATGACTAGTTAGTTAACAATTATTTCGCTGTAGGTAAAAGAAATAATTTCAGAATGAACTTTTTAAATGGCTTTGCCTATGGCAACTTATTTTATAAGCTTGAATGTGTAATAAGCTAACTTTCTCAGGAAGTGAATGTAATCCAACTATGTTCCACGTGTATTAAACCAGTTTATACAACAAACATGGGAATCACCTATGTGCATCAACTGTGCTCAAACAAGAATTCTCTTTATCAAAATAGTCATTTTTCAAAAAGGCCTCACATTAACCCCTTAAACCAATCACCCCTTCTATGTCCAGTACCCACTCTTTTCTACTTCAAGTTGCATTACTTTATAGACAACTGTCAAACTCCAGTGGAACTGTACACTGACGTAAGACTCTATGTAATATATGTCAAACACAAGAATAGTCACTGACTTTAAGGGACAAGGTGACCCTTGTCACCAATAATAATAACCAATAATAATTTAGCCAATGTCATTTTTAGTTCAGAGGGAAAAAAACTGCCCCCAAATATCCTTAACTTTTCTGTACTTCTCTGTAACACAAAGCATGAAAAGATAATCTGAAATTAAAATCATTAGAAAATATCTTAAATAAAATGTTTTAGGTAAATACGTTAATTTTCAGATTCAAACCATATTTTCGTCTGTATTTCAATTTGGGAAAAAATTTCACAATTATTAGCTCTTCCTACTTAGATTTATTTTTTAGTATTTAAATCCACTACATGCCAGTTTGTAAAATTCACCTTGGTTACCACTCCCCATGCTTCTGTGCTGTCTTTCCTCAGGTAAGTCCATTCTTTTTTTTTTTTTTTTTAAAGATTTTATTTATTTATTTTTTTCCCCCCAAAGCCCCAGTAGATAGTGGTATGTCACAGCTGCACATCCTTCTAGTTGCTGTATGTGGGACGCGGCCTCACCATAGCCGGAGAAGTGGTGTGTCGGTGCGCGCCCGGGATCCGAACCCAGGCCGCCAGCAGCGGAGCGCGAGCACTTAACCGCTAAGCCACAGGGCCGGCCCAGGTAAGTCCATTCTATGCATGTAAGTGCTGGGGAGGTTTAAATAGCGCTTAAAGAATATTCATGAGAGCTATGAAATGTTGAAAGTTGCATTATTATCTACTTACTGTAGGATTTTTAATTCAAATTCATCACAGTATTACAAATACTGTGTGAATGGAATGCACACAATTCCTACAGACACACAAACTGAAGTCCAAAAGGCACAGAGTAATGCTGGTGGCTCTTTCTAGTCAGTTAAGAAACAATAAAAAGTCTGCATTATTCTTTCATAATTTAAATACTTAAGTAATCTCCACTTTTATTACTTTATAACAATGACTTCAAATTTACATTATTTTAAGTACCATTGTAATAGCTTAGTGTATCATACAGATATTTGCTAATATCCCATCCAAAAATTAAAAAAAAAACCTCTTCACTATATATATATAAAAAAAATTATTCTGAAAGACAAGAACATAGAAGAGGGACTTGTACAGACTATTAACTCAATTTTCTATCACCACAGTTATAACTCCAAAATTAACAGATCTACAGCAATAATCAAAAGCAGTGCAAATATCTTTGGAGGTTAGGATAAAATTATAATGCAAGAACATAAAACAAGGAAATAAAAAAGGCAAGTACTTCAAGTACAAGGAACCAGTCTGCTTGAGGTCCATCTTAGTGTTTACTGGGGGCTTCCTTCCTGCTTTTACTTCTTTCTCTGAAACACATTGGCCAACATGGCACCTGATGTTGTCAACTGGCCCATTTTGTTCAAAAACTTGGTCTTTGTATCTTCACTCACTAAGCTTGCAGCAATTGACATTGAGCTAGGAAAGAAATTTTAAAATTCATGTAAAGCAATTAAAAAACTAAAATATCCATTTTTTCATTTCTTTAGTAGCATATCATTAATAAATACATTCTAAACTGGTATCACAAAAGGGAAATTAATATTTATGGAGTGGAGTTTTTATGTACAATAATAGGTTGGGAGCTTTTCATGTTCATTGCTTCTATTAAAGCAAGTAGTATGGTGTAGTGGTTAGCAGCAAGTCTGGAACGAGACTGAATCTTGGCTCTGTCATTTACCAGCTGTGTGACCTTGGGCAAGTTATTTAATCTCTGTTTCCTCACCTGTAAAATGCAGATAATTCTAATCTCTACCTCATTGGGCTATTACGGATTATATGAGTGTAAAGTGCTTGTTAGCAGTGCCAGGCATGTAATAGCATGCCGTAAGTTTTAGTTATTTTTCATATTATCGGCATCACTTCATTTAATTCTTACAGAATCCTGGAAGATAGATATTATCCCTATTTTCACCAATGAGTAAATGAAATCACAGTGAGGTCTTGTACTGTGCTGATAACAATCCTAAGACATATTACATTTTTTTAAGGGAGGGGAGAAACATGTCCTCAATTGCCAGTTGCATTAGTTTCAATCAATAATGTCAAATCCATTTCTTCTTTCTTTTTGACCAAACTTCTGTGCAGAGTAAACACAATCTAAATGACTACTAAAGATTGCTGATTTATCATACTACCAAACAGAGTATTGATCAAGGACAATTTTTCAGTGATTCAACAATTATGCTGCAATGGACTCAGGACCCCAGTTTATTGGCATCGTGGCTTTGGCCAAGATACTTTAGATCTCTCTGACTCAGTTTCCTCATCTGTAAAACGCAGATTGCAATTACTATTGCAAAATATCCTGAGGTCTAAGTAAGAGAGTATGTTTGAACACGTCAAGGACAATGAGTGGCAAGGTGCAGGAGTTCAACAGAGGTTTGTTGAATCTATGCATGAAGTGTGTGTTGCCACCAAGGACTTCTGGTTCTGTGTACTCTTTAAAGGTGTGTCCTGTGAATCACTCTTAAACACCGGACCACGACTCCCATCTTGAAAATCTCTTCTTTCCACAGCTCTTCTGCCAGACACCAACCTGGTCTGTCCCCTCATGTCTTTTTGACTACTCCTTTCCTGCTGCTTTTCTTTGGCTCTTGGTTCTTCAATTACAGACTTACTCTTGAAGTTTCAAATTTCATCTCCACAAGGATGACTCTAAAATATTTATTGAATCACAACCCTTTTCCTGAGAGCCAGTCCCTATTACTATTGTTTGCTAGATAAAGCCAATATTTCAAGCTTTTTTTCATATCCTAACTTCAGAAATAACTCCCCATTTTTATTTCCTTATTTGCCATTGATTCTATTTTCCTCTTTTCCCAACAGTGACTATAATGGCTCCCTCTCTTTCTATTTCAAACCAATCATCAAATCCTGTGACTTTATTCTACAAAACATCTCCTCTATTGTTTACTTGTATTTCCATTGCCAATACTTTACAGCTGAATTATTCCAACTGTTTTGGATCTGGTCTCCTTGCATTATCAGATTTACCTCTGCAATAATCACTTCTTTATATCACACCCCTTCTCAAAAGTCTTCAGTGGCTACTTACTACATACAAGATAAAATGTGCTTGGCATTCAAGAAACACAGCAACCTAATTCTTGTTTTGTTTTTAAACCAGCCATCACTGCACAACTTCTAGACCCTCTTGAGTCAGGTGTGCCTAGTCTAATTGTTCAAACCATTCTCAAATTAAATATCTCTTTCTCTCTGATGTCTAGCCATGTTTCAAATCCCGGTTCAAGCCCTATCTTTTCTATGATGCCTTTCCTTAACACTCTAGGTTTACAGTGCTGTTTTCTTTCTGTAGAAAACAGTGCTAAGTCAAGATAAGTATGATTTTAGTTTGCATCTAGAAAAACAGGATACATGGGTCAGATAATACCTGAGATACTATCAAGTTTTAATGATTTTCTAAGAGGAGGGCAACAATAATGTTAAGGAGTCTGGAAACCATAAGAGGTAAAAATGAAAAGAATGAAGAAAGATTGGTCTAGAGAAGAGAAGATTTAGGAGACTTAACAGATACTTCCCTATGTTACGTGGAAAAAATTAGATATACATCTGCATAGCTGTATATACTGATACACATGACAATCACCCGGGGAACTTTCTGGAAATGCAGATGCCTCAGCCTAACTCCAGTGATTCTGCTTCTTTCCACCTGGGGTACAGGACCTAGGTATGCAGTTTATAAAGCTTTCCAGTAAAGAACCATTGCATAATAGCATTTTTTTCTGAAGAGACAGTTGACATTTTATCAGTTTTAGAAAGGGGTCTATAATGGTCTGACCCCTCCACAAAATGATGAAAACCTGTTTTAGAAAGTAGACATTATAGAAAGGGATATTTATTTATTTATTTATTGTGAGGAAGATCAGCCCTGAGCTAACATCCATGCCAATCCTCCTCTTTTTGTTGAGGAAGACTGGCCCTGGGCTAACTTCTGTGCCCATCTTCCTCCACTTTATATGGGACACCGCCACAGCATGGCCTGACAAGCGGTGCATCGGTGCGCGCCCGGGATCCGAACCTGGGCCGCCAGCAGTGGAGCACACACACTTAACCGCTACGCCATGGGGCCGGCCCTGGGGAAGGGATATTTTATCTCAGGATAAGAAAGGAATTTTTCAGAAATAGAGTTGTTAAAAATGAAATGGGCTGCCTTGTAAGGAAATATGTCTTCTTACTGCAAGTTTTCAAGGAAATCTCAGATCTTTCCTTTGCAACTCATATCCAATCAGTTGCCATTTCTTGTGGATTCGGAATGTGTAGAACCTCTTACTTCTGGCCTATCTTTAAAGTTATTTATGTCATAGAATATTTCTCTCTCTCCCCACACCATTCCATCTTACAAATTAAAGATCACTACTCCTTCTCTTTGAAATCCCTATTTGATTTTTAACACCACTCTGGTTTGCTTCCTATTTCTCAGATGAGCTCTCTTAAATGTTGCTCTAATTCCATGTCTGGCTTTCTTTTCTTCCCTGTCGGAGCCCCTTTTCCAAGTGATATTATCCATCTACCCTCACCCTCACCCTAAACCTTTAATTACCATGTATATTCTAATGGTTTCTAAATCTCAATAACTGCCTTTATTGTTTCTCTATCTGTACCTCAAATTTTAAATATTCCTCTTCAGAATAGCTCTTTGTTCCATTTTGCTGTATTGTGCCATCATCTAACCTGGGAATCCTTAGATTCTGGTTCTCCTTCACTCTTAATTTGTTGTTAAATTGAGTTCACATTTTAAATATATCTTGAACCCATCTTATTCTTACACTTACACTCACTGCCATATATAGGCATTACAACATGGTGATTAAGAGCATGGGTCTCAAGAACCACAATGCCTGGGTTCGAATTCTGGCTCCCCGACTTAGTAGCTAGGTAGCCTTTGAGCAAGTTACCTAACCTCTGTGCCATCTGTAAAATGGGAATAGTAATAGCATCTACTTCATAGGGTTATTATGATAATTATTAGCAAACATATGAAAAATTCTGAGAATGGTATCTGGTTTTTAAGTGTTACTTACTATTACCTGCTCACCCATGCCCATACCTGCTTTCATCATGGGTTACTATAATAGCTTTCCAATCTGTTCCACCTGCTTCTCTGGTGGCAGTATTCACTCGAGTATGGCTTCTAAAGCAGTGGCTCTCAAAGTGTGATTCTTGGACTGATAGCATTAACATCACCTGGGAACTTGTTGCAATGCAAATTCTCAGATTCCACCTCAGATCTTCTGAATCAAAAACTCTGGAGATGGCACCCAGGAATTTCCAGGTGATTCTGATGGACCCTATAGCCTGAGAAACAAAGTTCCTAAGGGTTGGTAAACTAAGGGTTGCAGGCCAAACCCAGTCTGCTGCCTGTTTTTGTAAATAAAGTTTTATTGGAATATAGCCAGGCCCATTCATTTACATATTGTCAACGGCTCTTTCTTGTTTCAAGAGCAGAGTCCAGTCGAGTAGATGTGACAGCGACTATATGGTTTGTGAGCTTAAATTATTTATTGTCTTTACAGAGAAAGTTTGCTGACTCCTAGCCATATGATTAAGTCCAAACCTCTCATGTGGCATACAAAGTTCTTTATTAATTGGTGTCTGTTCACCTTTACAGACCTATCTCTATCCTTCTCTCATTCTCCCATACTCTGTGCTCTAGATTTACTTACAGTTACCAAACATGCTTTTCTGTAACTTTTGTCCTTTTGCACAGTACTGATATTTCTGCACATAATCCTTTTTCTTTTTTCCTTTGCCTCTGGTCAACTATTCATACTTGAAGACTCATGTATTCCTTCTTCCTTGGAAACATTTGCAAGCATTGTTTAAGTATTTATCTATACTTTATAACTGCTTCTCTTTTCTACTTCCAGCTGTAAGTACCCCAAAAGAAGGGACTATGCCTTGCTCAAGCTCATCTTTATGAACAGCCCATGGTATATGCTCTGTGATTTTACTAAATGCTGAATGAATATAAGAAGGG